CCTATCTCCTATCTAAACAATAGCTCAATCATAATTTTATGGTAATATATTTATTATAATTTTAAAGATGAAAGTTCTTAAAAAAAAAAAAAAATAATAATAATTTAATTAAATTATGGATTTTTTTTAATGTAATTTATAGACCCAAACAAAAATAATTTAATTATTTAAAAAATTATTGAAGAGGTACAACCTTCCTTCAGAATTATTACAAAAGGATTTCATCTAAGCAAATCCCATTTTTGCCAAACATTATTTACGCTTTTGCCCCTGAGACAGTAAAGAAAACGACGGCGTTTCACAACTCGTAATTTCATTTCGTCTTCTTCTCCGTCCATTTGGGGCATTTATTACCATTCCATTAACATTAGCTGCATGTTTTCTAGAAAACTGCCAAAAAGATTCAGATTTGTGCTCCAGAGACGAAATGGCCCCTCGCCAGTTGTTCAAAGTAATTAATATGTCCATTCTTGTGGAAGGTCTATGTCGGTTTGGCTTGTTGCTGCTTCTGCTGCTGCCGCCGCCGCCGCTACCGGATGGCTTTTCTTAATGGGTTGTGTAGCTATTCTTACACCCGCTGCTGCTTCTGTTCATATTAGCAAATAGGAGTCTGTTCTTAGATGAAAAAGAGAATCACCCAGATCGAATTGAGACAGAAAGAGGGGAAGTTGCGAAATATTTGTGGAATGCACACTAACTGTTTGTGAAAATGCCATAGAGAGAATTTTGTGATGGAAATTGAAAAATTACCTCTAAGTGCTGTGAAGCCTGTGATTTTTTGTCTTGTCTCGTCGTCCATTCTGTTGTAGTGAAGTTGTAAGGCTTGTAAGACTCTCACGGGTATGAGAACAGTGGAGGAGCCTGACATGGGGAAAGAGGAGAAATGGTAAATTCGTTAGTGTTTTTTTCCTTGTAGAGGAAGACACGCATATCTATCTACCGATTAAAGAATTAGACCGTAGTGGGCTATGCAAGTTGTTTAAGATTCAGACGGGTGTCGTTTTCATTCAGCTCCTTTTGACCACAAAGTGGTCTGGTTTTAAGGGGATGGATGGAGATTCCACCAAAGAAGCGGACAAATTTGGTTGGACCAACCGTGAATGGTTAAAGATTTGATAGATTCAGAGGGTGTCTGGAAGGTCACGGAATCTCTATGAATCAGGAGAAACAGGGGTATGAGGAAGAGTCCAAGATGCCTCACGAGGAATGGTTGGAATGGCAATTCATTGATGGGAAAGTCTCAACTAATGGTGTTAGCTAATTAACCCACTTAGAAAACGATGTAAAAATTAGCTAGCTATCGAATGAAAATGGAGTTTACTTGTTTTCTTCGGCGGCTGTGGTGGCTGAGGAGATGGGGCTGAGCGGTTGTAGTTCACATGGCGGGGCAAGAAAACACCAGTCCCTGATAACCCTCCTGGTTTCCCCCCTGAATTGCCTTGTGATGAGCTTCCTTGAGCTTGCTTGCCCATTATGGCGGCTGAACCTTTTTGCTTCATGAACTGCTGGTTCTGCTTCCGCCTCTGATTCTATAAACAGGGTTGAGCTTGAATCAGCAAAAAAAGAGAGTAAAGGAGATTTGTGAAGTACAAATTTGTGGGATTTGAATCTCATCTCACTTTGAGAGCTCTTGTTTGGTCTTTGGAAGAAGAAGAGTATCCATTTTCTTCATCTTGGGGCCTTGTTTGGATTGATTTACCATTTGTGCTAACCTTCTTCATCTTCTCTAATTTGGTGAAAACGTTCTGTGATATGTCGAGCCCCCGCCGCTCTGCAACCATCGGTGTGGTTGGCGGCGACGGCTCCTTCGAAGGCCCTTCTGGGCTTCCATAGCTGCTTCCATTGCTCGAGCCTAAAGGTGACCACAGCGTTGAAATAGGCGAACCAGACAAACCCCATGACTATATACAAGAAACAGAACAAGCCCTCAAAATCAAAAAACAGAGAATTTCACAAACCCCCTTGAAACCTTCCACGTTTATATAAATTCAATACCTTATTCTGAGTCTCTGATTGAAAACTTGCCGTTGAAGGGTTATCATCATCTTGAAGCATGAATTGAGCCATCCGACGACTCAATTCCGCCGTGTAATCCTCGTCGCCGCCGTCACCATCATCTTTATCGCTCTCGATTTCAGAGGAACCAATCTCAGACTCCACTGGCGAGAAATAGCTCGACCAATTGTCTCCTTCAAAGGGGCTCTGCTTATTATCTCCATGCTCTGTCTGAAACTGAGTGTAAAACTTGAACTCTCCGGCTTCTGGATCGACCGCCATGGCCGCACCTTGGTGCTGATACAGAGACAATAAGAAAGAGCGACAGAATTGAAAATTTATGCGCCGTAAGTCTGACTTTATAGAGTAGGAACAAGTGGAGGGACCGACTAATAAACAGAGAGATCAGAGTATTTTATGAAACACTCCAATGAAATATTTTTACGGTTACAGTGGTGGTCCGTTGGCCGGAGCACAGCCGTGGGGTTCGGTCAGTGTTTAAAATAAGTAATCGCATTCAAATTTGTGTATTATTAAGTGTAGATTTGAGTAAGATAAAATATGGTGCAACTGAATAATACTGAACATAATCCTAATTATTATAGTTATTATAATAATAATTATTTTTTTAATATTAAAATCTCGGTCAATTTTACATACATAAAGCCCGAGAAGATGGGTATAACTCTAGCACGTATTGAAGTTTATCATCAATTATGGTTGACTTTAGATATATATTCATTGATATCAACCTATCCATAGTAGGCTGATAGAGTTACTGACAAACTAATCTATTGGTGCTAGACTTATGATCGAGCATGGAAATATAGGAATATACCTAAATAAATGGAAAAAAAAATGTTAGCCATAATTTTTAATTACATAATTAAGGAATCTTTTTTATTTGATTATTATTATAAAATAAAGAAATTAATAATAACATTTGTCTAAAATATAATTTAAGAGTCAACCTTTCTAGTTGCAATTCTGACTACTGCTAAGTACCAATACGTTTACCAAACTCCATTATTGTACAAAGAATATTATTCCATTTTTAAAAAATTAAAGTTTAAGTTTTTTTTTTTTTTTTTTTTTTTTTTTTTTTTTTTTTTTTTTTTTTTTTTTTTTTTTTTTTTTTTTTTTTTTTTTTTTTTTTTTTTTTTTTTTTTTTTTTTTTTTTTTTTTTTTTTTTTTTTTTTTTTTTTTTTTTTTTTTTTTTTTTTTTTTTTTTTTTTTTTTTTTTTTTTTTTTTTTTTTTTTTTTTTTTTTTTTTTTTTTTTCCTTCAAAAAGGAAAATTCATATAGAAATAATTACTTTTGTGTTAAAATATAGCACAAATTAAAATTTTAAATATTTAGACGTCATTTTAATGGTTTAATTTGCTCATTAATTTTAATTGGGCATTAAACTTTTAATGTGTTTAATAAGATCTTTAAAGTTTTAAATTTTGCAATTTAAAAACTAAATTGGATGACGAAAATTTAAATTTTAGAATTTTAAAATTTGAAATAAATTTTTATAAATCACGTAATTATTTGGGATTTATAAACACATTTAAAATTTTAATAACATTATTTTATGACAGACTAATTTATCACTAATTGATAGATTAAATCAAATATAAATAAAGTTATTTTATTTTATTTTTTAAAAAAACTATGATTAATTAAGTCGGCCACTTTTGACTTGGAAATGGATTCTTGGATGTGAATTAGATTATGGGACACTTTTGATTAATGGCTAATAATTCCAATTTCTAAAAAGAGAGAATTTTACATTACTTAAACCAGAAGTTAAGTCTATTTATTTATTTTTTTTATTATTTCTTTTCGATATTTGAGAATTGATTTATTATTATTATTAGAAATGATGATAAAAGAGATTTAAATTGGTAAAAGAAAATATAAATAAAGGCAAATATTCACTAAAAATGAGTTTTTTTTCTTTGTTTTTATAATTACCATAAAATCATTTTTATTTCATTTTTTAATGTTTCTAGATATAAATTCGAAGCACTGATTCAATTTTTTTATGATGCAAAATTTCAAAATCACGAAATCTGTTCGAGTGAGGCAATATGAGTATGGAATGGGAGTGATTAGTGAAAACAAATGTTTATGTGAAGATTTGGTGTATTATGAGTTAAGGTTAGTGATAATCATGTTGAAGAAAGGAAACAGATAACATCTTATTCCAACTTTTGGATCTCAATCCTTTTTTGGAATTCTTATCTTAAGTTCAAATATGAGTGGCTTCCGACATGTTTCTTTCCCTGACGCCTCTCCTTTTTATTCATTTAAGCAACAACACTGACCCCACCACCGCCACGTCTACTCCTTCAGCTGCTTCCTCTTCTCCGGTGGTGGTGGCGGCGGTGGTTGTGTTTGTTCAAGGCGTGTTGTCCATGACCGCATGCTTATTACATGTCAAAACCCTTGTCTTGTACCTCTTCGTTCATTTCATTTCCTGTTGTCATGATATATAGTTTCATTGGGGATGTGACCCATCGTCATTGCAACCAATTATAAACTCTTCATACCTAGATTCTGTATGCCCGTTCGGCAAAATCACGTTTAGGCCCGTCAAATTTAAATCACCTCAAAATGTACTATAGGTAAATTCTTTCTGCCTGAAAAAAGTTATATGCTATTTAAGCTGTTGTGTTGCACTTTGCTTTAATCATATAATGTTGTTTTCAATCTTGCTTTCAAATTCTCTTTCAAAAATCTCTCCACCCCTATTTTCTAAACCCTTGTTCTCAAAACAGGGCTAGAGGCTTGAACATACATTACCTAGTTGTAAGCGATGCGATCCCAAATTAGCATGACTCACTCAATGTTGGGGATGAGTGCCACACAATCGCAATAGTCCGCTGCCAAGAAAAGTGCAACTGCTGTCGTTTCATTCACACTTGTTTCATTTTGGTGGGTTCAGGCGCAAGACACTCATTTACTATCTTTTAAGAAAGTGGTGCGATTAGGAATGGCTGTGTTCACATTTCTGGTGGAAGAGCTTTATTTGCAACTATCCATAGATATCATTCATTATTAGGAAGAACCATTTATGTAGAGTATGTAAGAAACAGCAAGGCTTATATATCTAAACGAGGAATTTGAGAAAAGGGAATGCAGAAAACTCCACACCATTTTCAAACTAAAAGTAACAGTGTAATGCAAATCCATCTGCTATGCTGCTTCATGAATTCCTGCACCCAGAAAAAGGAAAAAGCATAGCCATTTTGAGGTGGGAAGCCTTCTTTTTCCACAAATACAAAATGCCCTCAAAATTAAACCCGAAAAAACCGCTCAAACCGACCAAAACCACAGTTCAAGGATATATAAACTATCCCAGCCCACATTGCTCCTTCAACCCTCAAACCACCATGTTGTGTTAGAAACCATATTTAATTTATGATGTTATCTCAACCCGAACCAACCAAACCAATGAACTGATGGTATCGAGATTATAAAAATAGATGGATGAAAGTTTTGAAAGTAATTCTATAAAAATAAAGAACTCAAACAGTTAATCATGCCTCATGTTCTAAGAAATGATATGATATATTTTTGGTAAGGTTTTTAAGAATTGAAAGGTAGGAAAGCAATTAAATGATAAGTTGGTGAGACCCCACATCGGTTGGGAGGAGAACGAAGTATTCTTTATAAGGGTGTGGAAACTTCTCCCTAACAGAAGCATTTTAAAAACCTTGAGGGGAAGCTCGAAAGGAAAAACCCAAAGAAGACAATATCAACTAGCGGTGGGTTTGAGCTGTTACAAATGGTATAGAGTTAGACACCAGGCGATGTGCCAGCGAGGAGACTAAGCCCCAAAGGGGATGGACAAGAGGCTGCTTGCCAGCAAGAACGCTGGGCCCCGAAGGGAGTGGATTGGAGGGTCCCACATCGGTTGGGGAGGAGAACGAAACATTTTTTATAATGTTTGTGAAAACCTTTCCCTAGCAGACGCGTTTTAAAAACCTTGAGGAGAAGCCCGAAAGGAAAAATGGGTCCACATATGCTATCTGACTAACAAAAAGGCTTCAAAACGCACCTTACGCAGACAACAGGACAGCATACGACGACATAAACATACCTTAGAAAATAGGTGGGGATTCATGTGCCGCCAAGGCAAGGCAGAGGTCCTAATAATAAAGGGAACCTACAAAAAGTATTTGAAATCAGAGACTAAAATGGATCAGTTAACAGATTTCTAGAACTTCAACCATTACATTATTACCTTGCCACCAGTTTCCCCTAGAAACAGGTTGAGAGTTGTTTCCATCTGGATCATCTTCTTCCCCACTTTTCTTCAACTGGGTCATCAATGAATTGGCAACAACAGAAGAACACTCAGTTTTACTTTCTCTTTCTGATCAGTCAAACAAAGTATACTCACAGGGGACGGTGGGGGTGGGGATGGTCCACCTGATGGGGCCTGGGAATAGCCATCTTGTCCTCCATAGTATAGAGACGAACTCAGATGACAAGGCTCCAAGCTCCCTCCTTGAAATTATCAGATCTGGTTTTTGTTAGGCATAACTTGATTTCTTGTTTCGTGCGAATGAATTACACTTCTTTGGTTTTCCTTTCTAGCCCTTTTTGCTCTTATCTTTTTAATTATTAGAAATCGTTACAAATTATACTCTGGAAGTTCCTGTGGTTCGTGAATTTGCATATCATACCCTTCTGCCCATCAATTTTAACAGGATTGATATTTCAATTCACACACCTGAATTTCCTTGCTTGGTGTGGCGTGGTTGATTCCCGTTGGTCTGTTTTAGCCAATCCCCAGAGCTAGAAGTCCTGCTTCCCACCTGAAAATTAGAAAAATAACAGTGTTATAAAAATGATTACATGCACAATGGCTCTATGACTTCGAACAGTAACGGTCCAAGCACACTGTTAGTACATATTGTCCCTCTTTGAACTTTCTTTTTCAGATTTTTCCTCAAAATTATTAAAACGCGTCTATTAGGGAGAGATTTCACACCCTTATAAAGAATGTTTCGTTCTCCTCCCTAACAAATATGGAATCTCATAATCCACCCCTTTTCAGGGTCCAGTGTCCTCGTTGGCACTCGTTCCTTCCTCCAATCGATGTGTGACCCCTCAATCCACCCCCCTTAAGATTATTAAAACGCGTCTACTAGGGAGAGGTTTCCACACTCTTATAAAGAATGTTTCGTTCTCTTCCCTAATCGATGTGGGATCTCATAATCCACTCCCTTTTGGGGTCCAACGTCCTCGCTGGCACTCGTTCCTTCCTCCAATCAATGTGAGACCCCTCAATCCACCTCCCTTTAGGACCCAGCGTCCTTGCTGGCATACCGCCTCGTCTCCACCCCACTTCAGGGCTCAACCTCCTCGCCAGCACATTGCCCGGTGTCTGGCTCTGATGCCATTTGTAACGGCCCAAGCCCACCATTAGCAGATATTGTTCTCTATGGGCTTCCCGTCAAGGTTTCTAAAATGCATCTATTAGGGAGAAGTTTCTACACCCTTATAAAGAATGTTTCGTTCTCCTCCCCAATCGATATGGGATCTCACATGAACCATCCAAATTCATACCAGTACTTTTTTTTTTTTTTCCAAAAAGTGTCCAAGTAAAATAAAGAAGGAAGACTAAGAAATGTAAGTAATAATATGTTTAAATCTTATCCTAGTCTTCATGTTGGTTCCTCCCTGTAGTTTGAACGTTCTATTTTGTTCTTGAATTTTAAACAAATAATCATTTTAGAAATATATCCTTTCTAATAAGCAATAGAACTTCAGAAAATGCTGATTTTCAATAAGCATCCGTCTAACATTATGCAACAAAACTTCCAAATCCTCACCATGTAATGTCTCGTTTACATGTATTTATCTTCATTATCATTAGGAATTCTGTGACAAAATCTAAACCTATTTGAAAAGTAGAAACAAAGTTCTATGTAGCAAGAAGCAGTTCAGAAAGAGCAGCATTACCTTCTGTGGAGAAGGAAACATTGCTGCAAGAACTCCTGATGCTGATGACAATGGCAACTACTCGACATCGAAAAGATCAGCAACAAAAGAGGAGGTTTGATATCCATTAGGCTTTCCCTCCATTTTTCTCTCAATCTTTCCTTCTAACCAAACAAAATTACCCTGAGATTCCACCACACCCCATTGAAAGAAATCAGCAGAGTGAGAATGAAAGCAAGAGAACTATGCTTATAAAGAACTACTAATTGAGCTAACTGCTAAGAAGGAGACATGTCTAAATTGACTCCTCAACACACTATTTATAAGAAGGCAAAGGCTACTGCTATGTCACCCATGTGCCATCATCACTGGTTGGAAAAAGAAGAATAGAATAGACAAAAGAAAGAAAGAGAAGCCTCTCCTTCCTGTTAGTCTAACATGGATCTTATTTTGGGAATTTTCTTTTGTAAATTTCCTCATTCGTGCCGTGTGTGGCTTAATGGATAATGCAAGCTTCACAAGCACTATTTATCTTACTCAGGATCTCTTCTTCCCCACACAACCAATGGCAACCAGTGAGAGTGCTTTTCTGGATTTCAAATCAAAATTTAATTAAATTTGGGGATGATGAGAATCTCCTTCCTCTTATAATATTCAACTTTCGTACCAGAATACTAGAATACTACCTCCAGAAATTTTCATAATTCATTCTCTGGTACGTAATTTTACATTGATAAACACCCAGAAAAAAAAAGAAACAAATTATTTAATGCTTCATTTCGATATTGATTGTGAAATTGCGTTGCTGCATTAGAAGAAGGATAGTTATATGATTTGGAATACTCTAAAAACACCCTCGGTCCAATATTGACGATCTTACAAAGATAAAATTTAATTTCGATTGGTGAGAGAAGGAAAGGGAAAAACAATGAAGAAAATAAAGAAAACTCAAATGGGTTTCAATCCCACATGTGTATAACAGATGATAAGACAAGGTAAAGAATATGCCATTTTCAATGTCAAAAATAGAAGAAATCGACTCTTTAACTCCCAAATTTTTAATATCCTTGTTGATTCCGATGCCATCAACTATCTGATCTATCTAACTCAGAGAGACAAATAATTTCAAGAGCTCTGACATATTACAGAACCAAGTTAAAGCAAAAAAAGTGGGCACAGGAGCAGAACATGAAGAAAAACAAGGAAGATTCGGTCAAACCCCTATCATAAGAACAAACCAGCTCATTATTGAAGAAATGATAAAAAAAACAGTTCGATTTGGATAAGGGAAATGAACTGAGAGCCAGGGAAAGTGGGATGGAGGGTTTCCTTGGTCGTTTCTTTCATCATTACATTGCGAAAAGACTGCGACGTCGAATTTTAAAATGAAAAGAGTTATCAATCCTAATTGAGAGAGACGTGAAGCCACTCGACGACCACTCTCTTGCAATCGATGCGAAAGAGTATTACAAAAACTAAGCAAAGAAGAACCAAAAGGAAAATTGAAAAAGTGGAGTGCATTAATATCAGCCATTAATCGATCAATCGAGCGTGGTTTTACCTGAAGATGGGCGCATTTTCTTCCGGGAAATCATGGAAGGTTTGAATGGAATCGCTTCAATTTCAACTTCAAGTCTCTGTTTGTGAAGGCGAAAACCCAGACGAGAACGAAGCGCGCACAAAAAACAAGAAAAAAAGAAAAAAAAACGTGAGCGGCAGGATTCGAACCTGCGCGGGCAGAGCCCACATGATTTCTAGTCATGCCCGATAACCACTCCGGCACGCCCACGCTATTGTTCATCGTAAGCAAACTTTAGTAATTGATTAAACTTAATATAATTATTAATATTACGCATTTTTAATAGTGAAAAATGTTTATTTGTTAACAAATATATTTAAAAGTAACCAGTAATCTCTATGAATTCTGGGATTGCATGCCATACCATTTAGATTTATTTGAATTCAGGAGATTACGATTTATATTTGGTTGGTTTAATTTATGAAAAACTCGTAAATTTTACCGATTAAGGACGCATGATACCTTCTAAAAATATTCTAAAAGTTTTCCGAATAATAACAATAATAATCTTGTTATTAAATTTTGGATGGGCAAAAGTTAAAAAATTTATGTGGTTAATTGGTCATTAACTTACCATGGGTTATTAAATTTTAGTAGTAGAGGTAGGGAAAACTATGCAATAATCGAGAGGGGCATAAAAGTAATTTCAACTTCAATTCCGTGCTTATGATATATCAAGGTTTTAATAAGATGTATTGTTCTCAGATCGTAGCAAAAAGTACTTGAATAATGTCAATTTAAATATATTTCAATAGATAAGACACTAATTATCATTTCAAAAGTCGATGATTCAACCTTACAATTATTGAATTTTAAAAAAGATCGGATAGACTCAACTATATTATATTAAAAATCCATTAAATTTACAAACTAATTTTAACAAGAAGCAATATATAATTTTCTCATTATCCATTAATTTCAAAAAAAAAATCATGGTTTTCAAAAACTTACGCCAACAACCTAAAATCAACCGATATCTTTAAAATCTCGTCAATTCTAACAAAAATCATGCTTTTCTGTGAAACTCTATCAGTTTTATATGTAAAATATATTTCGTGAAATTATTTTTAACCACTCTATGGGTGAAATTATTGTTCTAGGTTTAAGCTTCAATTTGATAAAAATGCTATCAAATTCAAATTCAAATTCAAATTTTGACTTTTTTGCCCTCAAATTCTTATTTTAATGTGATAAAATTATGTATTCTAGTTTTACAAAAAAACAAAATAAAAAGAAAACTTCAAAACCTAATCTTTCCATGTTTTATTATCCACATTTTTTCAAATTTGAAAAAATTAACTTTTTATTTTGGAAATTTGACTAAAAATTTATTTTTTTTCAAAAAAATGAAACTAATAGTACAGAAATGATGAAAAAAAATGGTAATCAAATAGAGATTTGTTTTTCCTTTCTCGACATTCATAACATTACAAAAATTGTTTTCGTTCCCTCTAAACACCAAAAACCCATGTTTTTTTAGAACAAATATTAGGTTAAAACGTACATAATACTCTAGAGTAAGTTTCAATTATATCCCTAAACTTTAAAAAAAAAAAATGAATAATGACGAGAAAACAAAGGTGTAAAAAAAAAGACACATAATGTTATTTACACCTACATAAAAAATTAAGATTGTTACTATAATTTATTTCATCTTTGATCATTTATATAATTACTTTTAACACATCAAGTGTTAATTGAAAATTGAAATAAGGGCCCAAAGTTTAGGTGTATATGGTATAATTTAACCTAGCTATTATTCTCAAACAGTGCAACATTAAAGTCACACCTAAAAAGCAATACTCAGCTTATTGATTCACATTTAGCATTCACTTTTAACAAATACAAATCCATAAGGAACACACTATCTCCCCCCCCTTTGTGTCTTCAGGGAATAATATACTCCTTTTTGCACAGAGAAGATAAAGAAGCCATTCCATTCCAATAAAACTAAGTATAGAAAAAATGTTCAGTAGCCAATGACCCTAAGAAGAGTAGATGAGAGTTTACCTTTGCTACGAAGAGGAGAGGAGAAAGTCGTTCTGATTTAGAAATAAAATGGAGCTTCCAAGCACAAAAACTACACCGCAATATTTGTGCCTACAATACTGCCATGGAGTGAAGTTCCAATGAGTGAAATGAAGCAACAACATCATGCATTAATTAATGTATGTATTCCTGTTAGATTAACCCTCCCAAACGAAAGGGAAGTACTAAATAATGAACTTCACCGACAATCTAGTCATGGAAATCTATTTCTGTCACATAAACTACCACCTGATTCCAATGTCAAATGGGTCACTGTGGAAGAGTGCCCAGAGCTTCTAATTCATGTATGGAGATAGTTGGCAGCCATCATCAACTCGAGAGTCAATTCAGGTTCAATAGGGAACTCGGTCTCTTTCCCACTGACAAAAAGGAAGAAATCAATAAACATGGCAACAGATTTAGTCGTTGTACGAATTTACAATGGAAAAACTTTTGTTCGTTGCGAGAATGAAATTAAGAACCAAAGAGAATCAGAAGTATGTGTACATAAGTATTTACAAACAACATTTATTGGTTGAATTCCCAATCCCCATATATTGGCAAAAAGCTAGGTCGAGTAATGTCCTCCAATGAACAAAACGTTTACACACTCCATCCAAAACTTCAAACAAAATTTACCAAAATTCATGAGCATTCACACACCCACAAGACATAAAAATATTCTGGTAAGTTAGAGAAAAGCCTACTCTAACTCAATTCTGTTTATGTGTTTAAGTATAATGTTTTAAATGGGTGCGACTTGCGAGATCTTATCTAGAGGCTTGTCATTATCAGCTGTCTAACCTTTCTTCATGTACACCCATGTACTGTCCCAATGAGGTGCAAAACATTTGGCTCCTAATCCAATTAACTTGTAAGAACTCTATCTGTACTGCTTCATCTAACTTAAGAGTTTGCCTTCGAGAACTCTCTTACGCAGACAACAAAAAGTACATAACAACAGCAACATGAAAATTGTTGAGATAAGTTGATCCGAACCAAACAGTGATGCAGTTTTTTGATGCAGACAATACATACTATCCGGTTTTTTCTCAGAATACTTTTCTTTTATCCCTAAAAGGAAACAATTTTTCAGACTATCAAGATCAATCTGTCGGTCCAAATGGCAGAACTAGATGCCCTGCGCTATAGTTTCTATTTTCAATAAATTGGTGAGGATGCAGTCCTTCGTTAACAAGCAATTCCAGAAATAAAAGTAAAAGAACAGACGCGTTTTCAATAATACAATCAACAAAGTACCAGTTTACGAAAAATTACCAGAACCTAAAATCCAAAATATTAGAGATGGAACATGCCAACATCTTAATTTGCCAGACATTCACTCGGATTAATCAGAATTATAGAAAATTTGACGGGAAAAAGAAATGAAAACCTGGCGAATTGAAGATGCCAGTAAAAGTATTGGCAAATCTTCTCGAGAATGGGCGTGCTAATCTCAGGAAAAGTCACTTCTCTGTGCTGCGATTCAGCAAAATTTCCTATACAAGAAAACTAAAATAGTAAAACAAAGCCCTAATTAAACAAGAAGTTTTCAAAAGAAAACAATAGTTCCAAGATTTCACCAAATTCATTCTTCTTTACAGACAAGCAACAACGAGATCGTAAGTCTCAAAAAGTGAATTTGATCGAGAGGGTATGAGAATGGGAGAGAGACCTGGCGAAGTAAGCATATTTCGAATTGTCTGAGAAACCATGGCAGCGTCCTTGTGAATCACGAACTCGAAACCCTCGGCGCTGATCAATTTTACAGTATCTTCCTTCTTCATTTCGCTCTGAACTATCGAAATCCCTCCTCTCGCTCCCTCTCGCTTGAATGAACGAAGAAACAGGCTTTCGATTGTACTTTTTTTTACATTTTCGTTAAATTATATCCTTAAAAAATATATTTTTTTTATTATCATTAAATCCAATAAAATTTTATAAATATTTTTAAATTTTACAAAATAATAATAATAATAATAATTGTAATTTAACGAATTTTTAATTCTTTAATATCACTATGGCTTGGTCCGTCCAGGTTAGTTCGTTCTTGTTTTGTCCACATGCAGTGAATTTGAAATAATTTGAGCGTCGATTATAAAGAATTCTACATTTGTAGTTCACTTACAATTGAGTCATGATAGGGGAGAACGTGTTGAGTATGAAAATTCTACATCTCCAGTCCACCCGTAGTTGAGGCATCGATAAGAGAAGACATGTCGGCTACCACCACTAGTCGATCAGGCAACAAAAAAACTCTAGATCAAGATATAGAAGACGACTATTGATACCTAAACGTTGATAGTACTCAGAGAAATAATCTAAATAATCTATAATGTGAAGATAAAATTAAGTTATTTATCATGACAACACTGCTAATATGGATCACTTTGCAATAGTTACAAATGATTAGATTAAAATAGATGAGTATCATATAAAATGAGTTTGTATAAGATTGTACTGTAATATTTAATCTCTCTTTATAAATTTGTTTATGGAGAAGATTAATATTTAATAGGATCTTTATATACAACTCGGTGTTAATTCCAAGTGTGTTATGGACTCTTATCTATGAGCGCTTATCTTTTGATTTGTATGAGTGAGTCATTTTGTAGTCAATTTAATAAGCCTACCTGGAACAATCAAACTGATTGCTTGTAGATATTGTCCGTTTTGGCTTGTTACATATTATCGTCAGCATCACGATTTTTAAAACGTGGCAACTAGAGAGAAGTTTTCACTCCCTTACAAGAAATGTTTCGTTCTCCTCTCCAACAAATGTGGGATCTCTAGTTTTTAAGACGCATCTACTTGAGACGTTTTGGCTTGTTACATACCACCATCAACCTCATGGCATCATCTAAGGAGAGGTTTCCACACCCTTCTAAGAAATGTATCGTTCTCCTCTCTAACCGATGTGGAATCTCAGATTTTTAAAACGCATCTACTTGGGAGAAGTTTTCACACGCTTATAAAAAATGTTTTGTTCCCCTCTCCAACCGATGTGGAACCCCAGGTTTCTAAAACGGGTCTACTAGGAATAAGTTTCCACACTTTGATAAGGAATATTCTGTTTCCGCTCCAACCAATATAGGATCTCACTCTACCATTTTTTGAGCCAGAAACATAATTTTCAAAATATGAAAGTCTAGTATGTGAGTGCTAATTTTTCTAAATTTCAACCATGTGGTCTCACCCTCATTTTCTCGAGAGGGACCTATTTTATAATTATATTAATAAACAAAAGCGTTACCATAAAATCATCCATATTTAAGGGGGAAACATAATTTTGACACAACATAACTACGAACAAATCATGAAAAATCAACCTACATATATAAAATTACAATTCTAAATCTATATTAGAGTGACCTACCATCAATAAACGAAAAATTAATTGATTAAATTGTAAATTTAGTGCTATAATTTCGAGAAAGTGAGAATTTAATCCCTATAATTTAAAACAATAGTAATAAATCGCTACAATTTGTAACATGCTCTCAATTTTTGTATCCTTCCATTCATCTACTCTACTTGAATGGTGGTATGAACTATATTGTATCTCTTTTCACAGAGGTTCCTAATCTTAGAAATTGTATCCCTAACACAAACTCCATGATCAACTACAACATGGCAACACAACACAACTTTGCCGACACTTATTGACCAAATATGCAAGTCATGCAAAGCAAGAACACCTTTGATGTTCTTGATATCATGTTCTAGCCTCTCAATGTTTATCTCCTTGGGTGTTCCTTCCATCAGTATACCACCTATATGTCTAAGCATGGGAACAGTAGTAGCTAAAGCAAGAACAGAAAACACAAGAGTACAGATTAAATCCACCACGACCCAGTTGGGTTTAAGCCATAGAACAGCTCCAGCAACCATCACACCAACAGATTGAATCATATCAGAGATGAGATGAAGATAAGCACCTTGGAGATTTATGTTCGAACTTGAACTGTGTGAATGTCCCTCCTCCTCATGGTCAGTGTCATGATCCAAGTGATCATGATGACAAGAATGAGAGTGGCCATGGCTATGGCTATGGCTATGGCCAAGCCACATGACCATAACTAAGTTAAGGAGGAAGCCAAAAGCTGCAATGGCGAACATGAGCAATCCATTAACCTTTGTCTTGTGGCCGAGGATCCGATTGGCTGCCTCGTAGATTAAGAACCCAGAAATCAGCCATATGAGCTGCACAGACACAAGGGCGCCAATAACTTCAAGGCGATTAAACCCAAATGAATGTTGTGGTGTGGCCGCCCAGCCTGAAACCCAGACAGCAAAGAGGGAAACAGAGAAACCAGCAACATCACTCAACAAGTGAGCTGCATCAGTCAATACAGAAAGACTGTTGGCTCTCAAGCCACCTATGATCTCTACAATGATAGCGATTACATAGAACAATATCAATCCACCGAGCTTCATAGCGGACTTCGATCGTGTTAATGACTCTAGATTACTATGTTCTAATCCAGAAAACGGACAGCCAGAACGACAACAGTTTACATCCGGGGGATTGGGGATAGAAACATTCCTCTTCTTAGCAAGTACTGGAATCAAAACATCAAGCGAATGCTCTGTTCTTAAAATCGGCACTTCCTCCTCCGCCATGTGATTAATCAATCGAAAACTAGTGCTACTAAAACTGAAAAAGGAAGAACAAAAACAAGATTCCTTAAACTAAAATCGATTACCTCGACCAACATAAGAATAAAGAACCAAACGAAATAACAGCGACGCATTCCAGAAAACGAAGCAGACGAATTCGTAAAAGGAAAATTACAGAACGAAACAGCAAAATCAGTAAATACCTGAACGATTTTAGTGCGATCGAAAAGGAAAGAATCTCTGGGTTTGATCCCAAAGGGATAAAATCACAAAGAGTTCACAGATTTGGTATAGATGAGAGAAACTTTCTGCTTCTAACATTTCTTTAATTTGAAAATTATATAAAATAAAAAGGAATATAATGGTTTGATCGTTGCGTTTCGTTGCCGCCCAACTAAGCAAAAGGGGAAAATGTCTGACGCGCCTCGAAGCGAGTGAGAATCCTCTACAATTTACAGTTTGAGAGTCATTCGAGATGTGGGAGCGTGATGTTCACGATTGTCGTTTTGATTTTTTCTTTTACTCCGAAACTTTGGCGATGAAAACGACATATCGTTCAAATTTCGTCAACGCTTAAAACGACATAAAATATAAAGAGATAAAGACGTATGCACGTCGTTTTGGGTTAACAAAAGAATACCAATAATTTAAGAATTGTTTGGAAAGGAATTGGTCACTTCAATGCCATGGGGGGGCGGCCAGTGGGGCGTCTAGTGACATATGTTTGAATCAAAATAACCTAAAATATAATATAGTTTAGTATTTATTCGAGTATATATGAATTCGCTTCGTAAAATTTTTTAGATCAACTCAAAATTTCGAGTTGGTTAAGTTAGTCATCCAATCTAAACACATTTCACAGTTCAACCCGACCCAGTCTCCTATTTTTTAGTTAAATTAGGCTGTTTAGTTATTTTTTTTATTAACATCGGTTACCAACGTAACAAGTCTGACCATTATGGATTTAGGTTAGGTAATTCGAATTGATCGAATTATCAAATCATATGAACCATCTTAAAATTTATGTCTATTTTGTGATATTTTTAAAAAAAATATTTAGAATTGTGTTTATTTAATTAAACATAAAAAAAAAAATCTAATAAATCTTTAATTTTAATTTTGTATTAAATCCATCATTAATCTATTTAACGTTTTTTAAAATTCATGAGGACTTGAAGGCTCGAGGGGCGTTTTTTACCCATTTGGGGGAAGAATTTAAATTTTTGCTTGGAATTCTTTTTAATTATATATATTTATTGTTTTTTCTTTTAAATCTTCTTATAAATAATTTGTTTAAAAAATTATTAATATTAACGGCGATAAAATTATTTTAATAATTTGACTTAATAAAAATAAATTAATTAATTATCTAATTTTTAAAAATATTATTTATATAAATTTTTTATAACATTCCATATCTTATTTTAAATTATTTTTAAAATAAATTTAATTAATTCATTCATCTTAGTTTACAAAATTATTATAATAAATCAATAATAATTTTTAAATACTATTTAATTTATTTTGACAATCAACTATTAAGTAAATAAATTAATTATTTGCTAAAATTCATTTTAACGACGGTTGATAATTAAAAAAATTAAATAACATAATAAAATATTTTATTCATGTGAAATTTTGATAACTTAGAAGCACTAAATATATATATTATTTTCTTACCTATATTTTTTATCTTTTTTTTTTTCTCTTAGGAATCATAAACAAAACTTCTAATTAAAAGACTCATAAATATAAAAAAATTTGAATTATTCATAAGATTACATCGGCAAAGAAAGATTCGATCGGAAAATTATTCACAAGTCAAAAGATATATACTTTCTTTTATATACCTTTGAAACGAAAATAATATGTAAAAGCATAGAACTTTTAAAATTATGAACCCACAAATATTGGGCTCTCATGATCGTTCGGTTTTTATTATCGAAGGAAAGTTTCATCAAAGAAATACATCGATGTAATGTAAAATTACCAATTTGCCCTTGTAAAACCATTGGAATGGTGCAAGATTTTCCTAACATTTTTAAGCACTAACTTGCACAAACTCAAAATGGGAAAAAGGAGCCAAATAAAGCATGAAAATAATAATAACAACAAAATTTAAGCGACTAAATTAATAAAAATATGCTTAAAGTTTCGGTCTCTAAAAAAAATATTTTTATCATTAATTTTAAATGAAAATTGTTAGTATTTTATTTAAAAAAATATTCAAAATATTTCAAAAATACTTTTAAACAAAAAAAAAAAAAAAAAAAAATTAAACTATTTAATTTTTTTAAAAGTTAAAAACTATACAGTATTAAGCTTAAAAATACCCATTATATTTTAAAATTAGAATTAACACTCTTTACCTTTATTAAAAAAAGTTTAAAAAATTATTAGTGTGCATAAAAATAACACTTCTTAGATTATCTTCAAATATTTTAATATTACTTTTGAAAATTCATGTGTATTTTTAGAACGTATACCAATGATAAAGATATAAAAAAGTATTCTAAAGTTTGTAATAAGCTATTTTTGAAACCCTACTAAAAATTAATCGTGGTAATGTGTATATATATATTTTAATTTAAAGATATTTTAAATTTAAATACATTATTAAAATTTTTAGAAGATTGGAGTTAGAATAAAGTTTAACAATAATTTTATTAATTTATTATTTTCTTATTTATTAATTTTTTTTTTAAGGAGAGTTATGATTATTTGAATTAAAAATAAATAAATTCCGAAAAAGACTCGAGAGCACCTAGCTGGTGCCTTGTCATCATAAAGAAACACATAGAGTGGATAAGACTTTTAATAAATAATGCAATCTAGGTCTTTTTTTAAAAAAAAAAAAAAAAATTAAAAAATAAATAAATTTAGTAAACTCTAATCATAAATTTAATTCTAATTCTTTTTCCTTAATTTTTATTGTATTTAAAATTTAAATTTATTCTCATTAAAATTTTAAATTGTATAAAATATTTTAAATTTTATTGGTGCAATCATGTTTGATATTATATTTAGAGGGAAAAAGTGAAGGAATATTTGCCAAATATAATATAAATTTTAATAATAAAAACCAAAATGAATACATTTATAAAAATTTAAATGAGTAATAAAATATTTTAAAGTATGGATTAAAAAAAATGATAATTTTGTTGGATGAAAATCTCACGTTTGCCAATTTAGAGAATGATTACAAGTTTATAATCAAATAATACCCTTCATTCATATGAGACCTTTTGAGAAAGTTCAAAGCAAAGTCATGAGAATGGATGCTCAAAGTGAATAATATCATACCATTGTGGATAGTCATGTTCGTCTAACATGATATTAGAGTCATGCCCTAAGGTGGATAATATCATACGCATTAGAGCCATGCCTTAAGAACTCTAAAAGAAAAAAGAGTCGAACCTCAATTAAAAAAATACATATATTTACTTACAATAGGATTATATACGCAATTATTACGAACGAATTTGTATAAATCAAAAGTAAAGTCACAAACAGTATTATACTTTTTAAATTTTATACTTAATTAATTATAATTTTAAAATTTAGGAAGTCTTTAAGTGGAATTTACAATTTAACCCTGGTAATAATAATGTTTGACAATGATATGGAGGGGCAAAACGGTAATAGAAAAAGAGAGATGATAAGGAGAGGAAATCGTGGTAGTGCGGTACAGTTGTGTTTGGAAAACCCCGTAAAATCTGGCTCTGCCGCCTGCAGCACAATTCCCACCGCCACGCACTGAAACCTACGCCGCCGCGCAATTTGCCCTCCATGCGCCGCGCCGTCCCCCCACGTATACCATTTTCTTCCTTTCGTCAGACTTTCTACGCCACCGTCACTCTCTTTTCTTCCTCTTACTCTACGTGGCCGCCCCTCTCCGCCTCGTGTCGCCGCCGTACCGGAACTCCACTTCTACCTGAGTCTCCACTTTCGGCCGCCGGAAAACACTTCGGCTTTATGATCAAACTCTAAAGAAATATTAGCTAATGGAACTCATATACTTCTAACGTATAAGTATTTTGTTAAATATAATTTTTTAATCTTTTTAATCTTTCTGTTATATGGATATTAAATTTTTAAATTTGTATCTAAAAATAATAAAAATTATTTTCTTATTATAGCAAATAATTTTTACTCCTTATTACCACAAACAGAAAGGATAATAATGGAGAGAGAGAGCGAAAATAAACGAAAATATAAATATGTTTTAATAATACAATTATGATACTTTTTCATTAAATTTTTTTAAAGCTTTTTGAAAATGAATTTATTTTATGTTAATAATTAACATAAAATTTAAAGAGTGTTTTATTAATATCGGATATTATTATTAGGTGGGAGGTTGAGTGAAAAATGAGAAGTGTTAATAAGAGGAGGATTGAATCATTGGGATAAAAGGGTGTGACTCAAGAAATCAAATGCTATACACATTTTGATGCAGACCCTTAAATGCACTTTTATTCTTCTTTATTAATAATAATACTCTGAAATATTTACAAATTAATATATTCGTATTTTATTTTTAAAATAGCGTAGATTAATTTGAATTTAATATAAAAATTTAGATTTTAATGGAAATAATTTTGATATTTTAATATTGCAATAATAATAAATGATATTTGGAAAAGGGAAAAAGGGGAATAGAGGGGGGTAGGGATGCGTGTCATGAAATTGTAGAGTTTTTAATAAATATTTGTCTTATTAATCACGTGGAATTTTTTTGAAATGAAATGTCCACGTCAACCCCGGTACCCGAAACCAAAAAAAAGACCCCCTCTCTCTCTCTCTGTCCCCACATCCTTTCCACGTGGAGGCCCCTCGCTTCCCCAACTTCCGTTTTTAATTTTAACTAACCGGCCCCACCACCGCTTCTCCAATCACATATCGACACGCCCCCAACATAATCTCTTCTTCCGTGATTTCCTTTCTGTTGCCTCCTCATTCCCCCCTGGCCCACCTCCCTTTTCCCTGCCTACCATTTTCAAGGTATTTTCGTCATTCTTTACTCTTTTATTTATTCATTTTTTAATATACCAAAATAAAATAAAATAAAATATTTGGTTCATGAATTTGGAAGAAATTTAATCTAAGACGTTTTTTATTTTTTTATTTAATGGTTTAATTATCATTAATTATTTAAATTTCATTTTCCACGTAGTTATTTAGAATTAAATGTTAAATTTTTAGGGATAATTGGGGGGGGGGGGTGGATGAAACGTGTCCCGCGTGACAACCGGGTCGGGTCGGGAAAGAGTAAGCGAGAATACGCCACGTTTCAGTATCGTAAAACAAAAC